CCTGTGACTTCAGGCAGAGAGACCGCTGCATCAGAGCAGAAGAGCACGTTTTAAAATACATTTATTTTATCAATTAGTTGTTAACTTTTACTATTTTTAGCAACTTGCCCGATCGGGCAAGTGAGTTGTTAGTTTACATGCCCGACCTTGAGTTTTACTTGCCCCGGGCAATCGGGCAATCCTTATTGTTGAGCCCTGTTTGTCCTTAATAACTGGCACAAGAGTGACGGACAATATAGAGTCAGGCAGCAGCCCATGTGTCATGAACCAGTAAAACACATGGCAAGTAATGCTGCAGCCTTAGGACTTGCAAATTTAAGATGTTCAGCTGTGATATGATCAGAACCACTGGCTTTCTTCTCAGAGAGCTGTTTTATGGCCTGATAGACTTCACTGAAAGTGATGACTGTCTCCTTGTCCACTACACATTCCACTAAGTATGGAGCTCTCTTAACCAGAGTTGGGCATAACGCGTTACACAGTAACACTTTAGAGTACTTGGATTACTTTTTGCAGTAACGAGTAACCTAACACGTTAGTTTGCTGTTTGAGTAATCAAATACTTGAGTACATTTTCAAACAAGCTATCAGTTACTTCCATTACTTTTAGAACTCTGGCCCTTAAGCTCCGAAACAGCAACCACTGTCTTTTGGTTCTAATAACGGAGATAACGTTAAACCTATCAGTCCGAAAGAAGTCATGAAGCTTGTGGCTCGCTACATGGTAGAAGAAATGCTGCTGTTGTCTATGGTGGAGTCTAAAAAAAGGTGGAGGAGGACTCGCTGACAGACAGCACGACAGAGCTCTCAGGCCATAGTTCGGGTCTATATATCTCTGTCACTTCTTTACATTCCACACACACTTTGAAAGAGCTATATCTAGTGTTCACAGTGCTAATGCGTTCACACAGACATCACAGCCAAGTTTATCTTTGAGATAATTAGCTAGTGTCATGTTTTACTGCATCATAATTAGACATGTGCCGGTTACCGGCGTCACAGTTTACCACGGTAAAAGAATGTCACGGTGTCACTAACCGCCCATTTTCCGTTCCGACGGTAAAGGCTGACGGTGTAACCTATGCTATGTTTCATAAATGGGAACTTCAGGAACTCAAAACTCAGAAATAACTCTGTGCCAGTCCTACATTTTAACTGGCACACACTCTGAAATCATGCATGTACAGCCGCTGCAGTCAGCACAGTTACTGGGGGGTAGCCTCAGTCAGTCAGTCAGTACGTCAGTAATCAGTGTAAATTCACTCACGTGCAAACTGCAAATATGGCTGGAGGAGGTGAAGCTGAACTTTTCTCACCGGCGAAAAGGACGAAGTCGGTGGTGTGGGACCATTTAGGCTGTCTGAAGAACCCCCAGAGCCAAGGCAAAGACCTGCTTCTCCCATGCTGGGCTCCAGTTCCCAGTCGGCCGTGTTCACAGGCAGCTGCGCAAAGGAAACTATGTGGAGCGTGTCAGTGCCGGTGCCCCCGTCTACCTGGCGGCTGTGCTGGAGTATCTGACCGCTGAGATCCTGGAGTTGGCTGGAAACGCTGCCCGCGACAACAAGAAGACCCGTATCATCCCCCGTCACCGGCAGTTGACTGTCCGCAACGACGAGGAGCCCAACAAGCTGCTGGGCGGAGTGACCATCGTGAAGTTAAGAAATGGCTCTATTACTTTTAACTATAAGTATCTATCTATATTACACATTTAAACAACTGGTGTGATGATGCGTTGCACTGACAGGAGATGCCTGGTACGTGCTGTCGCTCATGAATGGTCAAACGAATATTAGCCTACCGTTTTAAAGTGTAGAGCATGAAAATAGGACGACGCTTGTTTTATTATTATTATTATTATTATTATTATTATTATTATTATTATTATTATTATTATTTTATTATTGTTATTACCGCGGTAATACAGATTACCGTGGTATTTTTGCCCACGGTTATCATACCGTCAAAATCTCATACTGGCACATGCCTAATCATAATATATGTTTCAAGATTATAATTATTGAAACATTGATGTGTTCATCATAATAATGCTGCAGCTGGTCAATGTAGAGCAAACAAAAATGTATTTATGAATATTTTTTATATATTTCCTGACGTACTGCTGGGTAGCCTGGATAAGAGGCTGGAAATCACAGAACTTACCTGATGCGGGGAAACAAGTCAGCAGTATGAATCTGACAAAGGTGTGAGCTTTTTTCATATTGACCACAGATGAAATAGTATGTGACATTATCAGCTGTCAGAATGAGTTCCCCCTGCTATGGTGAAGGTAGTTCTTAGAGACAGATAAACCTAAAAAACTTGTGTGATGATTTGCCCTTAATCTACCATTTCTTTTGGCCTTTCTTCAGTGAATTGATGTGAAAGTGTTGTCTTAGTCATTGGGAGAGACAACCATCAGATATAGTTTACTCTCTATTGTTTAGCTGTCTTGTGGCCAAATCCTGCAATTGCATTTGTGGAAAAAATACATCACAGCTAGGTAAATGAGCACACATTTCCTCCAAATGTCTACAATATTCAATATGGATACTCTCACATGATTAATATATTTTTAGACAATAATCTGACAGTAGCTGGTTGTGATTATAAAGACATAAAAAGCAAAAATAGTGGTTGTGTTACACCATTTTCACAATATAAAAAGGCAGTCATGATACAAGCACAGCTTCTGGGGGGTTAGCTTCCTGTGAAGGCATACTCAATTTGCTCCATTTCCCTTTTTTAGACTAGTCAACTAGTCTTGATTAAAATACATGTTAATGATTTGTGTGTGTGTGTGTGTGTGTTTCCTGCAGACGTCCAGCAGCTGTCGGTGGTTAAAGAAGAGGTTCCCCCTGAGCAGCAGGAGTGGAGCTCCAGTGTGGACCAGGAGGACCCAGAGCCTCCACACATTAAAGGGGAACAGGAGGAACTCTGGATCAGTCAGGAGGGAGAGCAGCTTCAAGGGCTGGAGGAGGATGATATCACCAAGTTCACATCCACTCCTGTCCCTGTGAAGAGTGAAGATGATGAAGAGAAACCTCAGTCCTCACAGCTTCATCAAAGACACACTGAACAGATGGAAACAGAAGCAGAGAGAGAGGACTGTGGAGGACCAGAACCAGCCAGGAACTCAGATCCAGATACACATTTACA